TTTGTAATAATTCGTCCATCTAGTCATTCGGAGATAAGTAATATCTTCCATTAGCTTTCTGTAAATATATTTTACAAATATATTTTAATTCAAATGGATGTAGTGTTTTTGTTGCGACTTTTCTTTACGAGATTTTTTTTGGCAAGATATCTTTTAGAAATTAGTTAATATATTATTCATCATGCACAATTAAGCTCGATGTTATTTTGCATCGTATACATGATATTCAAAATAGAAAGATAATATAACCATTAGCGATGAATGTTTTTATTCATCACTAGTTTTCAAAACAAACATGTATTATGTTCTGCTGATGTGGGCATTATAAGCATAATGCTAACGTGGAAATAATTCTGACATGGAGTAAATGCTGACGTCGACTAAATGGTAACGTTACCACATTGCTGAAGCTAATCTGAACATAATGCTGACATAGACGTAATGCTCACAATTAAATGACGTTGACATAAATAAAAGAAACCTACAATTTAGTTATAGCAACCTACATATTTATGGAATTGTATCAACTTTAAACGGCGCTCAAATTAACGAGCATACACACATAAATTGAATCATAAGTAAGATGGTAAAAGTATTTTTCTTTTTCAACTAAGAATACTCCCTCAATACCCCCGTAAACGAGAAAATAAAGAGTCATGATTTTTAAAATATAATTTCCTATATTGGAGGTGAATCTTTTTTACTTTCTCGTATATACGAAGTATAGAGAAAGTATTGTAATCGTGCACACAAAAAAAAATCGAGATTTTTACTAATCTCGACGTTTTACACCTCACTGATACGGAAAAACATAAATTTGCAATCTTGTCCGTATGTCTGTGTGTCTGTCTGTGTGTCTGTCTGTCTGTCCGTGTGTAAACACGATAACTTGAGTACCGTTACAGCTAGGTTGATGAAATTTCATATATAAGTATTTTATCAAAATCGTAGATCCGTATCAACTTTTGAGCGATTTCCGATAACCGGAAGTGGTACTTTTCCAACTTTGAATTTTTCAAAAGCCTATAACTTGAGTACTATTTCAGATAGATAAATGAAATTTCACATGTAATTAAAAGATCTAATTCTCTACCTTCTGTTAAATTTTGAGTAATTTCCGTTGACTGGAAGTAGTACTTTACGCTACTTCCGATTTCTCAAAAAACTAATGTAAATTTTAAAAGTACTAATAATATTGCGCATTACTATGCGCTTTTTTATAAGGCGTTCACTTGGGTGTGCAATTAATTGTCTACGAGATTTTATTCTATTTTTAAAACTTTAAGTATTTAAAATGGATTAAAAATCATGTCTATAGCCCGAGTTCCCATCCCCTGTTATTTTATATAAGAATATTCGAGAAAGTTTAGAGGAGATCACTCCCGGTTTATTTAACTTGTAAGCAAAGAATGGGTGGCTACTTAAGTTTAAGTAACGGTATTCAATAGATATTACAGTTACCCGCGCTTTTCTTTACGGATATTTAAATAGTAGAGTAGGCCTATTATTATAATATATTTTATCATTTATTTCCTACTTTTATTTTATTATTACGTAAAAGCTTGTTATTAAAACGTTTCCAGGTGTTTATCAAGACGTTAAATAGCTGTAATGTAAGAATAGCGCCAATGTTGCACAGCGCTAAAGCCGTGAGGGAAATGTTGATTGTCTCCCTGTAGCCCTGCTGGCTGAAGACGACGATGCTGATGATGTTGCCGGCTACACCAACGATGCTGAGGAGACTCTCTAACACGAGGTTGATGGCGAGGAAAATGTCCAGCACAGCAGGGTCGACAAGTCCAGAGTTGCCATCTTGTAACATTTTTATTTTATTGTACAGTAAAAACAAGAAAAATACAGTTCTAATCTCTAGTTAAATATTTACATTTATTGTCTAAATTAAATTACTGAATATATTACTTGTAAAGATACATTATTTGAACAAAATTTTACATTTTTTTTTCAATTTTCAGTTTGTGATATAAACAGTGGCGTAGCCAGGATCGTCTCAAGGGGGGGGGGGTCCAATTTTTACCCGGGGACAAACTTTCGATTTGCACCCCCCCCCCCCTCAAACTTTCGATTTGCAACCCCCCCCCCCCTCAAACTTTCGATTTGCACCCCCCCCCCCCTCAAACTTGCGATTTGCACCCCCCCCCCTCAAACTTTCGATTTGCACCCCCCCTCAAACTTTTTATATATACCGAGGGGTCTATCGGGGGGTTATGACCCCCCCTAACCCCCCCCCCCCCCCTGCCTACGCCACTGGATATAAACATATATTAAAATTAATAAAATATCAATTCAATCTAGCCATGTAATTCTAGATTTCAAGCTGTGCCAGCGAAGAAAAGCGCTATTAGTCATCCTGTCATGAAAGACAACCAATTAGCGAAGCTGTGTGAGTGTACCCGGAAACAGTGAGGTTACACGGACAGCTTTTTCCAACTGCACGTTGCAGCAATTACAGTGTCCGGATCGAGACAACATCATGTGTGGCACGTAAGTATTCCACTGCCGTGTCAGTGACAGTGAGCGACTGTCTACCTAAGTCGGTATTATCGGACACCGGACAATCTGTCATATTTCATGGCATAGTTGACACAATCTCAAGACTCCCTTCACACAGTTTACCTAAAGTCCCCTTGTATTCACTTCCTCAACACCCCTGCCATAAATTAATATGTCATGCTAACAGTTAATCCGTCTCAACCTATCCGTAACATCCAACGCCTATTTGTAAATGACAAAACCCAACCACCCTCAGCTGTGCATTCAAACACATTAGACTGTAAAACAACATTTCGTTTACGAGTATACATGAAAAACATGAAATAAAAAGATTTTTAAAAAACGCAGAAAACTAGAGGTTCACTAAAATACAGAATCTTTGGTGGTTGAAAGTATGCAATTTTAAATACAACAAAACAAAAGAAATTATACTTTGTATTATTTTAAAAATTATACATTTTTTAAAATATATAGTTAAAAGACATCAAATTTTATTTTTCCAGGATTTACTCAATCATATAATGTCTTGTGGATGTGACTTAACGTTGTCCAATTGATAGACTGTTTGACATTCGAGGGTAGCGGAAATTTTGTCATGAGATCATTTGACCGTGAGATGTTTTGATTTGGGATATGTTATTAAAAAATATTTGTCATGAAACCACAAGCACACACACACATACACAAACACACACACATACACAAACACACACACACAAACACAAACACACACACACCCACATACACACACACACATATATATATACCCTCGAATAAATGCTATCACACTTATCGGGCATTGTCGCTATTTTGTCTTACATACTTTGGGGACGAGACATTGTATGACTGATTCATCTACACCTTTAATCGTTAATTTTTAACCTGTGACATTGTTTTCTAAAACTGATTTATTTGAATTTATTTATTTTTATGCATATTGCTTTTATTATTTTGTATAAAATGGGACATTTTAAAAAGTTTTGCCTACGAGTGTAGTAGCCCTCCGTCTCCCCTGTGTGCATTTCTTTAAGTCGAACGTTGGCGCTACAGTGCTTAGTGCGACTGGCGAGGCGCGCCAGTTAATCCAACTGATGCGACGAATGCGTCTAGTACAGATTGACCTTTTAAGTAAGTAGTATCTATGACCCCCTCGGCGGAACTTCCGCTCAAGGGATCCCAGGTTTTGAGATTGTTTCCTAAGAATTACGGGCGCCAAACGCACTCTCCTACGGGGTAGTGGATGGGGGGGGGGGGGGGCTTTTTCGATTTTTAAAAATACTTTTCATAACCTTCCCAGTAATACTCTCTTCAACTTACAAAAATTTCATAGTAATCGGATGTAATATTGTTGTAAAGTATATAAGATACACATTATATTATACGGATAGATTTTGTTTTAGCTCATGTTTTCGGTTTCTATTAATTGTATCGTTAACTATTCTAAAAGCTCATGTTATACACTTTGAATAGAAACAATTAAAACCCGCATTCGTTTTAATAATAGCATTGCTTTTAACATTGTCTTATGCTGGTGGATTTCGAAATTTAATGACAATTACAAAGCGAAAATCATTTTTAGATGTTTATGGGCGTATGAAAAAGGATAAACAACTTCGTTTGTAGAAAATATTTCAAATTTCTCTGTTATTTAAGAAGAAATGTTTTATAAATAATTAAAAACCAAAGGTACTTAGAACGCTTAGCTGAAATCACATTTCAGCCAGCGCCAATATTTATACATTTTTATATAACAACAAAGAATTCTATTTCTATAAACGTAACACTGTATTATATTTTATTGCTGTAACGTAGAAACAAAAGTACTATAATTGCCTGTATACGAGTCATTTAACGTCTACATTTAAGATTGGTTTCTATCAATGTGTGATAGCAGTATGTTGTAGTGATGTACTCGAACATTTTAATTTAACCTAAACACTGAGTGACTTCATAAAATAAGCTGGTGTAGCATACAAACCATGATAAGATTTGTTTTACTGTATGTTTGTATTTTATCACCAACTTTTGGATATACATTTGATTGCTATGGAGTTTTTATGCGGGATGGTGGTGAAGATAGATGCTTGATTTTGAACAAAACATCGATGTCAGCCGCCGTATACTTACAACAATTCTACAAATATTGGTGTCACGGAGACTATTACCTCACCAGAAATATAGGTTTACTGGATGAACAGTTCGTCTGTTCTTGTAGGCGGCCGTATTGTGAGTATTTCGACAACTGCTGCCCCGAACTTTCCCGAAATGATTTTAATTTTACGATCATAAACAATGAAGAGATCACATCGCTCCGCAGTGTTAACAATTTCAGAAGTTACAAGTACACGACACGGAAAAATCTACCTAGACTTCACTGCGAGTCCCAGCGGTCATCGTCTCACGTCTTGACTATCCGGTCTTGTCCGGACAACTACACCGGTCCAGCCAGGGTCGTAGAGCTGTGTGAGGCGGACATCCCACGAGAGATGATGACTTTGGATGTTTACAATTTCGTTGTTGACATGGAAACGGATTTCCTGTTCTGGAACAAGTACTGCGCCCAGTGCAACGGGTACACTCAGGTGAATTTTGTTTTTCAGGCTCGTATACTTGACACAAACACGAAATAACGGTTCAATTTAAGTTGGGTATATAAGTTGCGTATGTAATACAATGGCTGGTAAAAAATACATATTTTGGCTTTTAAATAATATTTAAGTGGGGAGGGGGTTCTGTAAACTTTTAAATCGTAACTTTTAATATATTTCATATTATTTGCATTTGCTTGAAATCAAGAAAACATAAGATGGAGAGATTAAATAATGATTCGCACTCGTTTATTCTTTTGATTAGTCACAGTGTGTACTTCTAGAATTCACGTGATATTTTAAAAAAAAATTATTTTGTTTATCAATTGACTTTTATTTTATTGATTAATTTTATTGATTATAGTTACCCTTTCATGTAACTTATAGTCTTATTTATTTGTTTTTAAAATTATACCCTTTATTCAGAAAAAAATGTTATAAAATAGTTATTATTCTAAACGAGGTGTACTTTTCTACACGTAGTAGCATATTAGTGACAAAGCAAAACAATTACTAAACAGCTAATGATCAGAGACATGTAATATATATTTGGCTTCAAATACCTATAAGAAAAATAAAAACAAAAATTATGTACATTATTAAAGAACACAGCACCGTATTAAATGCCCCTAATGATTAAGTGACTTAAACGATTCCGTTATGAATTCGGAGATGTAATGGTATTTTTGTTATTTTTTAAGGTGCTATGCACATTACAAAAAAAGAATTAGATTATTTACTTACATGTGCAATTTCATTTATCTATCTGAAATAGTACTTAAGTACACACACACACACACACACACAACACACACATACACACAGACATACGGACAAGATTGTAAAACTATATTTTTCCGACCCAGGGAGGTGTAAAACGTCGAGATTTGCAAAAATCTCTATATTTTTTATTTTGCACGATTACAATACTTGTCTATACATTGTATACGAGAAAGTAAAAAAAAGCGTTTTTCAAAGTACGAAAAAATGTAAATTGGAGGATGTTTTTCTAATAATAGAATTTAGTTTATACATTCACTACATCCAACATATTTTTTTTTGAACCAAAGTATGATCATTATGTTCTCTATATATCGCTAAAGATTGTGATATTATAGCCTCAGAAAATATGATGCGGACAGAGAGACAGCGAGAGAGAGAAATACTCACATGGGCTTTTATAGGTTATAAGTCTCTTTAACTCTGTTGAATATAGAACAATGAAATATCTACAACCTATTAAGCGAATCACTGGTAGGTAGTATAAAAAACTGGAGCCCACCAACTTTCAACCACTCAGGTATCTGACATAGCGACAACTTACACATGTGGGCAGCTAACACGCAAATATCACACCTTTATATTCTTTAAAATCTCTCACTACAGTTAATCCAATCCAAAACAATTGAAAAGAAAATATCAATCGCTAAATTTCCGCTTCCATTACCAAGACATTCTACTATCACACAAAGTTCACTCTAAAGAAAACCTATTAAAAAGACTGGCTATAGTTACATAGTTTTTTTTCGAAGTTAAATCGTGTATTTTTACAAGCTTTTATTTAACTCACTTCCTCGTCAGTCTGTCGTCAGTCTAGACGGAAACGCAGGAGTGAAAATTCGGACAGTTCTACTTGACCGATACGATTCACAGTTGGCACGTGGGTCAAGACATGAAGACAATGCAATCTGAATCTAAATTTGACTTAATTGGATGCCTAATTAATTTTTTATGAATTAATTAAAATTTGGACCGAATTAGTAGGCATGTCTAGCCAACCACACCACACGCGTCATCACCTTCAATAGCTGCGCCATCACGTAATGGCTGCGTTCAAAAACAATTGCGCGCCTACTGAACGTGATGTTCAGTAGGCGCGCAATTGTGTTTAGTCATGTAACTCTATTGTAAATAAAACATGTAAAGTACTGAAAAAAAATTCATAAAAAACGTTTTAATAACAAGCTTTTATGTAATGATGCACTAAAAAGTAGAAAATAAATTATAGACTACTATTTAAATAACTATAAAGAAAAGCGTGGGTGTCTTCCTTAACATTAGTAAAGGTATCCAATAGATACTAAAGTGACCCACGCTTTTCTTTATAGTTATTTAAATAGTAGTCTATAATTTATTTTCTACTTTTTAGTGCATCATTACATAAAAGCTTGTTATTAAAACGTTTTTTATGAATTTTTTAAAGTTATTCGATCACTGACTTACTTGATTTAACCAATTAAGGTCCCTGGGGAGCAAAAGGCAGCTATCTCACCTCTCCACAAGACTAGGTTTTAGGCAGCTCTCTTTATCTGCGCCCACGTGAGCACAGCGGCCTTTGCGTCTTCGTTTACTATTCTTCTCCACACCCCACTCCCGTTCCCACTTTGATCACTATGGATTTTTTTTGTCTTGTTATATTGACGTTGTATCATTAAGGGTTATTTGTAATGCCATCTAACCATCAGTTTTATGCATTGTTTTTTATATTAGTAAGATCAAACATACATGCAGTTTCTCCTAAATGTTTTTATCTACATGAACAAGTATGTCTAATTGAACAGCTGCGGCCCATAGCACAGCTCCTAATATATTGCCAAGATTACCAGATAATGCATAAGGCGATGGATTATGAAGAGATGGTAAATATCTCACTCCGAGAACCATCCTGTGTGTTACATCATAATTTAGGAGACACGGATTCCTCCGGCTGTTTTCCACATGAGTAAGTACAGCCCTGCTCTTAAATATTCTTTTCTGGTCATTCAGTTTTTTTTTTAAATATCAGCCAACAACAACTGGCATATAGTTTATTCTAGGGAGGAGAGCCTTTTCAACAAGCATTTTTAAAAAATAAAACAGTTTATTAGAAGAGACAACATACTTTTACAAGCTTTTATTTAACTCACTTCCGCTGTCGTCGGTCCGTTGTCAGTCAGTCTGTCTAGATCGAAACGCCCGAGCGAAATTGCAGGCACTTCTAACTGACAGATACGGTTCTTAGTTGGAACGTGGGTCAAGACATGAAGACAATGCATCGTGACTTTAAATTTGACTTAATTTGATGCCTAATTAATTTTTTATGAATTACTTAAAATTTTTGAACAAATTAGTATGCATTTCTATACTGCGTCGAGGCCGGCCTGGCTTATGGGAGCGCAACTCCTGAGCCGGTGATCCGTGTTTTTCGAGTAGGCATTCTATTCAACTACTCCAAACGCGTCATCACGTTCAATAGCGCGTCATCGCGTTCAACAGGCGCGCAATGTTTTTTAGTCTATTGAAAATACAAACATGTAAAGAACGACTGACGACTGACGAGGAAGTTAGTTAAATAAAAGCTTGTAAAAACCGAAATAAGCAACATGTGTACGAATTAGAATTACTTACAAAAAAATATTTCTAGATGAAAATGGAAGCTCTCACATACATGCTAATTGGCATGTCGGGGAAGATTAGAACAAGTTAGATGTTTTAATTGCGGTTAATTTGTTATGCACGATTTATTGTAATAGTAAATGTATCACATCGAAAGATTTAATGCACTGTATTTTAGATTGTATAGGCTGCATACGAGATCTTTGTAACTGAAGTCAGGATTTACATTGTTTGTGTTACTTTTGTTGCCATTAATCCACGTAAACATATTATAATGCTAGCTGATGACAATGCTTTCGTCTGTTGTTACATTTAGCCAAGAAAACAAGAGTTTGGAACTATGTGCATATTATATTATTGAAACGACCGATTTATTGCATCGTTTAAGATGTAGTGATGCTGGAAACAAAATAGTGTGTGTTGTGTGTATTGACTGACCACTTGACATACGATACAATCTTTTGTCGTTATTCTACAAACATCTTTGAGTAATTCACACATTCGCGAAAAATTCGTATAGCGCGCTACAGTACTTAAGTGACATGGTCGTCTTATAATTTGTTAAAGTTTGGATAATTTATTACATTAAAATATAATAATGCATTTTTGAAGCATATTGTTTAATTCATTCAGCAGATGAAATAGAGTTAATATGTTTCTTGACCACGGCTTATGAAGGAAAGGTGTGGGCAGCATTTTGTCCAACCGCCTTTACTTTCCCTAACATGAGTAAGGTACAAATTAGAGCTGATGGAATTATTGACAGATTTGGACCCGGATTCAAACAAATGACTTTTGGGTTAGCAGTCTAACGCACTACCACTTAGGCCACACCGTTCCAGTTGTTGATTATTAGTATAGTTAATGTACGAACATTCAACGCTAAACAAGTGATCGGTTGGTTAGATCTTGAATTAGTGGAGAAAAAGTTATCTCAAACCAATCTCGAATACGCCAACAATATTTAGAAATGTCTCTTGTACGTAGTGATTAGACATGGTTGAAAGGTTTCTTTGAGGAACTGAGTACTTTAAGCTGTGTTTGTGTATTTACGTTACTGTGAGACAGTGTTAAGTCCGGGTAGGTTGGCGAGTATGTTGTTGTACGGATTGAGCAAGTGTAGCAAGCAAAGCGACTGGTGAGTGACAAGGGGTGTGCTGTGAGCAGGAGCTTTAGGAAAGAAGTGTTGTATTGATCTTATGACTGTGAAATAGTTTATAATTAAACCCATTTCCGGGGTCGGATTTTGCTGTAAAGCTTATTCCTTGCTAAACCGAAATATCTCGAGTTCGAATCCCCGGCATATGAAGCTCGATAGCTTACGAAAGCAAGTCTTCTAGGAGAGACAACTCCAAAATCTACAAGTAAGTTCCTGGTTTGACAAAGGTAGTAAAAGGAAATCCAGAAAGAAAAATACGCTGAAATCGGAATCAATAGCCTATTTAGCGCATTACTAGTTAATGTTAATAGTTAATACTTAATTGTGTTGGATGGAATCCCCTTCAACATTAAAAATCTAGAAAGTAGATAAAGAAGCCCATTTTAAATCACCTACCTTATCAAAACCCGTGCAATTTTCCCTCACACTGTACATACCTTGATTAGGCTTGTGATAGACAGATGTAATGTGACGCCGTCAATAAGGCCGTATGACGAGGATGTAGAGAGGGCCTGTCTGGAGTTCAACAACACGGTAGACCAGGTGTACGTTAGTAAAGGAGGGGAACTTTACAAGAATATCTTCTGCTTCATATGTAATGTGGTAAGTTTTACAAAAATATATTCTGTTTAATATGTAATACATTAAGTTTACAAAATGTACCTTCTGTAAAATTTGTAATGCGATAAGTGTTATGAAATACAATATCATTAACTAAATTTGAATCACAATATTTGACCAAAATGTCTTCTATTTTTTATGTAATACGGTTAAGTTGTACAATAGACATTTATAGCTACATTTCAATCATAGAACTTGTACATGAATATTTTTTTGTTACGTTTCTTTAAAACAATGATCTTTACATGAATTTTGATTTCCCAGAACGATACAGTTTTTGGGAAAAGAGATCCAACTTACCCCATATCCCTGGTTCTTTCCACCAAACCTCCGTTTTCCCAGCTTATCCGCTTCTCTAGTCCACCCACACACGACGACACTATCAGGAGAATGTTGAACCTCTCCCAATGGTCTACGGCTGATGTAGGTTTTTAGAAAACATTCACGTAAATCCGATCCTTTTTGTTGTCATCACGAGACGGAGTATTTAAATTAGAGATTTAAATAGGTAAAAGCATGTACATTATAGTTTAGATTAGCTGTTAGGATGAAAGTCTGAATTTCAGATTTCAGCACGGATTTATAATTGTAGGACGTCCCGAAGTCTATCCAGCTCAGACGGGTACCAGACTGATGTTGGGGAAAGTAAAGCCGTCTGGGCATGGTACTGACCACAACATTTCTTCATATACTAAGTTCAAGAAACTCATGAACTCGATTTTATCTGCCCAATTAATCGCTGAGTATAAACATGAATCTTTACTTTTACGTTGTAATTTGAAACGATGTAGTCAATTCCTAATTTCCATGCCAACAGTTTGAAGATGAAACTTTATCATAAGTTACACTATTTTGAACACTTAAAACCTATGAATGATATTGTTGTATGTTAAAACTGAACGAACACACGGCTGACCATGCTGTGTTACGCTGAAAAATATTAAATATAGATTAGAATGTTTTTTAAATCTTTCAGGAGAATGCTTTTCTTTTAGTGGATGAAAAAAAAAATGTAAACTGATATTATATTTCTCGTACACCTACATACCACTAGTGTAATTTATACAGGGCGTATTACACCCTCTAACATTTTTATTTCAGGGCACCACCAAACCGCTCCACTGTACACCTGGAAAACACCTGATTTCTGGCAACTGTAGAACGTTCAACACTGAGGTCACAGGGCTGGGCTACAGACTAAGAATCTGGTTCATGCTAACACCAGCAGACGTCAACCTGACGTTGGATTCACTGGTCTCCATTAGCCAAAGCTTCGAATCCAAGGTTGAGTTACAATTTTTAATATTGCTCGAGTATTCATATTTAACACTATGGTGGATGGCAACTATGGATATAGACATTATTTTTATCCATTTTTAATTACTTATTTTTTTAAAAATATAATAGAATCTCGTAGAAATAGAATTGCGCGCCAAGTGAACGGCAAACAATATGTGCATAATAGTGCGGAATATTATTACTACTTTATCAATTCATAGCGTTCATTACTAATGGACGCCAGAGAGAAAAGTCTCAAAGGTATTTAAGAGGTCCATAAATTTATTTAAAAATCATGCATGGCGTAGTTACAATTAATATGGTTATAAAATCCTTTACTGAAGATTGAATGTATCTAATGTTTTTAATATTTTCGGTAACTAAAAAAAATGTTTAAAAAAGCAAAAACAATTTGGTTTTCACGTGTTTTCACATAAACAATGGCATCCTGCTATTCAATAGGCCGCCATAAATTTTGTTTTACACATTGTTAGCTAAAAATAGAAAAACTAGGTCATGGTGTTTAAATTTGCATTGTTATTTAAAAACTTGATCTGCAAAGTTTTGTAAACAAATAGTTATCGATCAGTAAGCTACTGTACAGCCAATCAATATTTGTCTTACGAAAGTAAAACATCCGGTTATAACTTAGGCTTGATTAAAATAAATAGAAATGTAGCCTTAAACTCAACAAATTATTTTCAAGTTCTCTGGATTTGCAACTTTTATAGCATTTATTCTAAAAATATTAAATTTCTAAATTTATTTTAGGCTTAAGTTTTTATTTTTTATTTTTTTATACGGCCTAAATCTAAAAAGCACGTTTTTTTCCATGTCAACAACATTATGGAAGGAATCTCGTCAACTCGCTGGTGTCCATTCGAGTCAACGGAAATTACTCAAAATTTAAAGTAAACAGATACATAGATCTTTTACTCATATACGAGTTATCTGTCTGAAACAGTACTCGAGTTATAGGCGTATGAAATACCAAATAAAAAGCTCCACATCCGGTTACCGGAAATCGCTGAAATCTTGATAAAAATCTACAAATAAATATTTTTGTAAATTTCATCACCCTAGATGTAAGGTTTGTCGGGTTCACTGGCACACACACACAAACACACACACACAGACATACGGATAAAATTACTAAACTATATTTTTCGACTCAGGGAAACACCAAGAGATTTGTGAAAATTTCGATTTCGGTTTTTCGCTGGTTTACCATACTCTATACGTCGTATACGAGAAAGTATAAAGAGATAAATAACTGATTTTCTTTAAATATATAATACACTTCTCTTTAGATTACTATACAATATATATATATATATATATATATATATATATATATATATATATATATATATATATATATATATATATATTTATATACCCAACAATTAAATATATCTAATTTTTGTTGTAGATTCGAGACACATGTAAACGTGAGGCAATAAATTATTCAATGGAATGGGATAAGTTTATTTTATCGGAAGGTAATATAACTAATCCGTATAGACTTCAATCCCCTATTGTGATCCTAGCTGATATTGTCATAGTTGCATCCAAAAAAAAACCAAGAGATGAGATTGAAGAATGTTTGGTGAAAACCTTATTGAAAACACCTTTAACTGTTGCAAGAGACAAAGACGTCACTTGTGTCCCCTATGTATGGTTGGGTGACTTTGAGAACATCTCTTTATTTGAATGGTGCAGTGGAAAGTTTGATGATTGCTTTAAATACACATGGCGTGAGAAAAACTCTGATTCCGATATGTCTGTTCCTAAGGAACCACTGGTAAAGGTGACAAATACTTTAGTATGTACTTTTGTAAGTTTCAACAAAACCCAATACAAAGTAGATGAAATCAAAACCTATGTCCCACCAACCGTGACAATCACAGTTAATCTTGGAAACACCAAGTTGATCTTCTCAAAGGTGTCAGAGATCAACATGTTGGAGATTGTCGGCGATGGTGTGTTGAATGTTTGTCGTGAGGCGCTGGACGAGAAACTCGCCTCTCTGGCGAAAACTCCAAATGAACTGAACTATTACGCCAATATACTGACTCTCACTTGCATGTCCGCGTCAATGCTGTGTCTCCTGGTGTCTTTAGTAACGTACATCCGGTTTTCAGAGCTGAGAAACAGTGCAGGCAAAAACAACATGTTCCTGTGTACAAGTCTTTTACTGGCTCAGGCATCTTTGTTGGCCAGTTCGTATCTGTAAGTTTGTTTGGTTGTTTGTTCGATATTGTACACCTAATTAAACACATTCACGGTTCGTATCTGTAAGACGTTTTTATCTTAAGAAAAGTATCCACACTGTAAAATTGAGTTTCGCCTAAATATACTTATGAGTTTTTTCGGTTTGTTCAACAAATTCTACAAAGTGTAATGGTATATTTTAATTTAAGTGTAACAATAAGTTCAGATTGTTTAGAACTTAAACACTAACTCGCTAATATAATTTCTTGAATGGCATTGTTTTTCGAATGCTTATAACACTTTATTGTTCTTAACTTCACTATCTGTTGACAATATCTGATTTTAGTCAATTTACATTCAAAATTTTTAAAGTACAAGTTTGAAGATTATGTTTTAAGGGACAAAACTATTTGTTCTGTTTAATCAAAATGTTAAGTAAATGTGGGTAAACATTAAGCTCCCCACCATGTGACTTCAACGTTTATGTAAGTTTTGCTACTTTGTACTCATACTCTCACTTTTTGTTCTACACAATTTAGCTCAGGCTACAAATACATCTGCATCGCTTTGGGAATGTCCACACACTTTCTCTGGCTGTGGAATTTCGCCTGGACCTTCATGTGCAACTTTCGTATGCTTCAGGTGTTTACAGCGCAGGTTCGGATACCACAAACACCGGAAGATGAAAGACGTGTACTGGTGAAAAATATTGTCTTAACACTGATCCTGCCTACAGTTTCTGTTGCTTCTGTTGCGGTTTCGTCTCAGCTACTAACCCAAGGCCAGAAAATTGGATACGGCGAATTGACATGTCTAATTGATTCAAGTTTACTACTAGGTTTGATCTTTAAATTTTAGAAAGTTGTCACTTTGTTATAAATACACGCAATTTATTTTAGAAATACAAGCATTTTACTGAAATGACTGATACGTAATTTTTTCTCTGACCCAAACAAACCGACACATCAATTAAAATTCATTCTTACTTTTACCTACCTCCATTCTTACCCACGTTTTATTCGGTAACATTAAAATTCTTAAAATATACTTAAAGATGTCGTTACCATTGTAAGGATATTACGCATTATAATTCAGTGGCGTAGCTACCGTAAAGCTAGCGTAAAAAAAGCATAGGGGCCCAAGGCATTTAGGGGCCCTTTCCCTCCATTAAACTTTTTCATTGGAATTTAAAATTTTTGTTTTAAAAAGATAATGGAAATACAGTTTCTTTTCTACTCTAGAAATAATAAAAAGTTCCAAAAAAGGCACGTAGTCCTTTCTTACTGTACAGATAGCGGCATTCAGTATGGGAAGGGAAGGTGGTCGAATTGTCGACACTTGTCAATTTTTTCTATTTTTTTTTATCTTATCAAAGACATTTCATTTGTTGATCTAATATATATATTTAATTAATTTGGCGCTACTAAAACTATAAGTTTATGGTTTTCAACTAATCGCCAAGAAATTGTGTCCAGTAGTTGAGAATACTGCAAGACAGTGTTTCCCCCAGACCTTTTTCTAGAAAGGTACCTGAAGGAAACTCTGACATTTAGGAAGGTTTCTGGCGTTAAATTTTAATTTATTTCTGATGGCGGGGCCCCAGCAGTAAGGCCGTGCGGTTTGCCACCCAGAGTTTTCCACTGGGTTTCTTAGCATGTGGGGGTCATTGATTGGGTGTCCGGCGCATCAACACTTGGGCGCTTATATTCGTTTTAATGTGCGCCATCCGCTAGGAATACGGAGGACTACTAAATCGATTACTAAATCGAATAAGGGATGTCCTCCAGCGCATCAGCAGTAGTAAAAGTTGGTCGCCTGACTGCAAGGGATCCGTTAATTGTGTGTCCTGCATGTGTACTACTTATTCAACGATCAAACTGCAACAGGGGCGACTTCGACGCCCCCAGCGTACGGATGAGACCAAGCACAAGAGCACCCTACACTAGGAACACGGTGGGCCTCTACGTTAGATGATTTAAACCGAACCAGGGGTTGCATCCGGCTACCTACGGTAGTGTAACCAGTAACCTCCGTGGCGTCCAAAAACTGTGCACTTTCTTTTATTATTTTAGCTGGATATAATATAGTCTTGACAGTAAATTTTACAATGTTTTGTCATTGTGTCATCCGATGTTGACAGCACCTCTGCCCCGCCTTGTGCGCTACTGTGTTTAAAAGTAAATATTCCTCTTTAGACATAACGATCCATTGGGCAGTGGAGTTCATATGTTTCTTGACCTCGACATATAAAGGGATTAACGTGGTCAGCACTATGCCCTAACGTGAATTAGATACCCTTCAGTTGGGTAGACTCAGGGACTTTCCACTAACTAGAACCCTGATTCGAACTCGAAACTATCGGGTTAGCAGTCTAGCTCTTCATCGCTAGACCACGCCGTCCGCTACTGTGATTGGTTACTTTAAAAAAAATTTAAATGTAAGCCTGTAACATGTTTACAAAACTGCGAGGTTGTAGGCCTACATAATAATATAGTATAAATACACAATCAGGACGTATAAAACACATAATGTACAGAATATTTATATTATTGAAAACCCTCCAGCTTAAGTAACACTTGATTCCTTCGTTTAACTCCATTGTAGCCTAACGGCTGCCGAAGGGGGCCCACTGATAACTTTTGCATAGGGGCCCCAAAAATCCTAGTTACGCCACTGTTATAATTAGGTGCACTCTGAGATATATTTGCTTTTTATGGCAGATAATTCCGTGTATTTCTTTCTAATGTTCCTGTGTCGTTTTACGTCTCGTTATGCTAATGTACACGAAGATAGAACAGTTTAGATGCGCTTTGGTAGGGTGTCGCCTAAGATTCTAAACTTCATTATTGTTCAAGATGACTTAAACAATTAAAAACTACATTTATTACCATTAATTTGATATCAGTTTTATTTATGAAATTTAATCGTTAGCCTAGAAAATGCGTTTGTGAAAAAAACGCGTTTGTTTTTAAATGGCTACAATATGACTAATTTTCAGTGATACGGTGGGTTTGTTTTTTAAGGAGTGTTGTTGTGACGCGATTGACTGTTCACTGCTGTTCAGCAAAAATGTGTCGTCTGCTAGATTTCTCACCATTCAAATATACTGCGTGCAAAATTGGCGGGCTAAGTTAGCTGTTGTCTCGATCAAGTTATTTTTTAAAGGTTTTGATTTTTAAAACATTAATGACATTAGTTGAGTAGAAATCAAATTATAATTTTCTATAGTTTAGAATATATTTTCAGTAAGTTTAGAACATTATCAAATAAAGCAATTCACGTTTTGCTTACTTTTATTATGTTCTGCTCGATATTCTCAGTGATTAGACCAAAATATGTACAAATGGCAAGTCTGCATCAAACACTAATCGTCCATTGTTACAACTAGACCGGTACTGTTGAATAATACGCAAAAAAAAAACATTTTTAAGTATATATTCTGATATAACCAAGAAACATTTTTAAAATAAAACAAATTAACCGGGAGTGATCTCCCCTAAACTTTCTCGAATATTCTTATATAACTTGGAATATAGACATGATTTTTAATTACTTAAACTTTTAAAAATAGAATAGAATCTCATAGAAAATAAACCGGGAGTGATCTCCCCTAAACTTTCTCGAATATTCTTATATAAAATAACAGGGGATGGAAACTCGGGCTATAGACATGATTTTTAATCCATTTTAAATACTTAAAGTTTTAAAAATAGAATAAAATCTCGTAGACAAATTAATTGCACACCAAGTGAACGCAAATAAAAAAAGCGCATAATAGTGCGCAATATTATTAGTACTTTTAAAATTTACATTAGTTTTTTGAGAAATCGGAAGTAGCGTAAATTACTACTTCCAGTCAACGGAAATTACTCAAAATTTTACAGAAGGTAGAGAATTAGATCGTTTACTTACATGTGAAATTTCATTTATCTATCTGAAATAGTACTCAAGTTATAGGCTTTTGAAAAATTCAAAGTAGGAAAAGTACCACTTCCGGTTATCGGAAATCGCTCAAAAGTTGATACGGATCTACGATTTTGATAAAATACTTATATATGAAATTTCATCAACCTAGCTGTAACGGTACTCAAGTTATCGTGTTTACACACGGACAGACACACACACAGACACACACACACACAGACATACGGACAAGATTGCAAAATTATGTTTTTCCGTATCAATGCGGTGTAAAACGTCGAGATTTGTAAAAATCTCGATTTTTTTTTTGCACGATTACAATACTTTCTATATACTACGTATATACGAGAAAGTAAAAAGAAATGCGCACCAAGCGAAAGCCAAAACAAAATATGCATAATAGTGCGCAATATTGTTAGTACTTTTTTTTAATTTAAATGCGTTTTTTGAGAAATCGGAAATAGCGTAAATTGGTACTTCCTGTCAACGGAAATTACTCAAAATTTGACAGATGGTAGAAAATTAGATGTATTATTTACATGTTAAATTTGATTTATCTATCTGAAATAGTACTCAAGTTATAGGCTTTTGAAAAATTCAAAGTAGAAAAAGTACCACTTCTGGTTATCGGAAATCGCTCAAAAGTTGATCAGGATCAATGATTTTGATAAAATACTTATATATGAAATTTCATCAACCTAGCTGTAACGGTACTCAAGTTATCGTGTTTACACACGGACAGACAGACACACACACACATACACACACACACACACACAGACATACGGACAAGATTGCAAAATTATGTTTTTCCGTATCAGTGAGGTGTAAAACGTCGAGATTTGTAAAAATCTCGATTTTTTTGCACTATTACAAGACTTTCTCTTCGTATATACGAGAAAGTAAAAACGGAATCTTCGAGTTCGGCAGCCATAATGACCATGATGACGACAGTTCTCTTTTAAAAAACAAAATGTTTTTTCTACCAGGTGTGTTTTTGATCTCTCCTCTAAGTCTCATCACTGTGTGTAATGTGGCTTTTTTCATCGCCACCGTCGTCAAGATCTACACCATCAGCAGATCTGTCACACAACAGGACAACTTCAGCACCAGAGATAGACAACTCTCTGTGGTCTACGTGAAGCTGTCGTTGATGACCGGAGCTTTCTGGCTGTTTGCCATTGTTGGAGAAGCCACGGAATCGAAGCCACTGCAGTAAATTAATTTTTTTAAATGGGCAACATTATAATTTTTAATTACATTATATTAATAAATAATAGTATTAAATGATGTCTCAAATAATGAATATATTATACCTAATTTAATAGGCCGACTTAAGTCTGACCAATTGTATGACCTATTATTTCGTCAATTTAATAAATCTTTGCCCAAAGCGTGATAATAAACTATTATAAAAGACACTTTGGATAAGTTTGAAACGAAGCATAAAAGACTATTTTTTTACAGTATAGCAAAACTAATCACAATAAATTGGAATAAATGACAATTGCTGCATTAGAATAATTCAACGCATTGAAAAAAAACTTATGATATAAAATTGCTTAGATCTTTACCCAAAGCTTGATGGTAATTATTATAAAAGACACTTTGGATAAGTTTAAAACCAAACATAAGAAACTATTTTTATTACTGTATAGCAAAACTAAAAAAAAATGAAATATGAGAATTGCTGCATTAGAATAATTCAACGCATTTGAAAAAACACATTATATACAAATGGCTTGCGACAGGTTTATGTCTTAAACACATTGTAGAACGTGTATTTTCAAAAACAAATACAAATTTTAAAGTCTCTTATATGGTATTCATTTGTTCGTCATTATAAGTCCAATATTGATAAAAATTGTATAATTCATCCAGTTTCACGATATTAGAGTGCATGTATCAATATTGACGAATTTAATGGTAATCTAATTTTTCGATCCAACAGGTTTATTTCAATTATACTTAACGGCTTACAAGGTGTTTTCTTCTTTGTGGCGTATATCTGCAACCGCCGTGTGGTCAAACTTTACTGCCCATCAATTGGACAACGTGACGTCACATCTACAAGACATTACACAACTGAATAGAATATGTACTGGCTCTTAATACACAAGCTCGCTCAAAAAATCAACAGACGTCTTTAATTGTTATTTATATTTTATATCATCTTCGAATCTTTATAATAATAAAGGACTAGGTTAGAAAATGTGTTTTTAATAAGAAAACTCAATGTAGTGTTTGTGTTTCTTGAATCTGTAAATGTAATCTCAATAGACTTTAAGCATATTGATACTTTCTTGAGTTTCCTATATACCGAAAAAAGAATGTTATTTAAAACATCAAATAAAATTCTAAATTTAGAAATGAAAATCAGCCAATGAACTGTTAAAAAATTACTTGATTCAAAGCAATTAAAATGTTTGCTATGTAATTTGGGAGTGTGTATTTTCTTTGAAGAGTCATATGAATAAAAATGATTATATTTTAATAAATGAGCAATGAAATAATGAATTTGTATAGTAAACTATACGTTATTATAAAAGTATAATTAAGAAAACTGATTTTTTTTTCAAATAAGTGTGTAAGAATTTTATCCTACGTTTAAAAAAATCCATATCGAAGTATTACAGTGTGTCCCACGGGCTGGAACATTAGCAAAAGGCATGCACTAGAAAAAGCTCTAAATTATTTATTTCTAAACAATTGTCTTAATTGATTTCTTATCGGGCCTGCTGGATTCGTATGCATCTTGTTCTCTAGCCTTAAATATGTATTACATGTTTATTTATTCTCACGTGTCAACTGATTTGTTGTTCTATATTAACGCTGGTTGTACTTTAATTTTACTCGTAAGTTTGGTTTTCGTAATTTCTAAACGTGGACGGACGTAGTTTATAAAATATAAATTCAGATGATTTTTTTTAAATCACTGTTGACAGCTGGTGTATTTATGTATGCCTTTATTGAAATATATTTTTTTTTGTAAACTGCAGCAGTACAAACATAAATATAAAAAAAAAGAAAGTAGTTTCGCAAATGTTTTTAGTCGATTATAAAAACAAACATTGTTGGTTGTTTCTTAATTTTTGAAGATCATTTTAGTTAATATTTTAACATCCAGAATGTTACGAATAGAAATCTTGATAAAATATGCACAAGTCAAGCTGTAGACACTCAAAGTTTAAAATAACAAGTACCCGCCACTGTCTTCCTTTTTGGGGAGCTTTGTTTCAGTCTAAAGTATTCCACACAAATGTCCAGAGTAAAGCGCTATGTGTCTTTCTAGGCGTATTCATTTGTATGAGCTGCTTTTAAAATGTACTGTTCTTAAGGGGATATACGCAGCAAAAAATCACACAATTTCTTGTTTTTCGTTATAATGGGTTACTAGCACTTTTGGATACTTTGTCCATTTTTGTATTAAGAAAATAATACTTTTAGTGAGAAAAAAATATGTGTATGCGTTTAAAATACCATTTTATTGACCCTATTAATTAAAAAATAATACTTTTTTTCCCAGTCTTACAAGTTATCTGTGAAAAGTTTTATATCCGTCATCAGATTGTATTTGGCATCATTGGAAAGCTGGATATTTCTCATGTTTTTGAAGATGTAAATTTTCAACATCTCGGAAACACCAGAAGCTTACAATCGGCTTTGCAATTTACACCGATATGGTATTTTCGTTACCTATTTTTTGTTCCTTTTGTCTGTTTTTTTTCAGTTTGCAGGTTTTTAACTCTAAAAGCCTACTACTTTTTATTTATCAAACAATGCCCACCATATTTTCAGTAATTGTTCTTCATGCAAAAATACAACGTTTATCATGAGGTAATTGTGATTGCTTTCAGTGAAATAAAGTATTTGGTAATTAAATCTGCATATTTTGAAATGTTTGAATACTAAAATGGGTACGATATTTAGAAGTTGTGAAATTCTTACTAGTAGCTATTTCAAAAAATTTGTCGTGACAAAAGTTTTAATATATAACGTTATATAAGCAGTTTAACTTTGATTGCTATAATAGTAATGGTATTCAATAAAACATGTAGTAAACCACCCTTTTCTTTACAGTTATTTAATTATTAATTTATTAAGATATATTTAGAGAAAATATTTTTTCTCCTTTTAGTGCCTATTTATATTTTCGCTTGTTGTTAAAACGTGATTTATGTATTTTTACTTTCTCGTATACGAATTATAGAGAAAGTATTGTAATCGTGCAACTAAAAAAAAAATCGAGATTTTTCCAAATCTCGACGTTTTACACCTCAATGAGTCGGATAAACATACTTTTGCAATCTGGTCAGTATGTCTATGTGTATGTGTGTCTGTTAACACGATAACTTTAGTACCGTTACAACTAGGTTGATAAAATTGCATATACAAGTTTTATATCAATTTTTTAGTTCTGTCGTACATTTTCAGCAATTTCAGATAAGCGGAAGTGAAACTTATTCTACTTAAAATTTTTCAAAAGCCAATAGCTGTTTCAAATTTTGAGTAATTTTCGTTGATCGGAAGTAGTGATTTACGATTTTTCGATTACTAAAAAAATACATGTAAATTTATAAAGTAATATTAATATTCCGCACTATTATACACATTTTGTTTACCGTTTACTTGGTGCGCAATTCTTTCTTCTGCGAAATTCTTTTATATTTTAAAAAGTTGAAGTTATTAAAAATGGATTAAAACATGTCTATATCCCGAGTTGCCATGCCCCGTAGTGATATATAAAGTTATATAAGGATTTTTTAGAAAGTTTAGGGGAGATAACTCCAGGCTTATTTTCAGTTCTTTAAAATTTTTAATACAATAGAATAAACTAAATTGCGCACTTGATGAACACGAAAAATGTGCTTATTATAGGACTTAGAAGTTCTCAAAATACGGCTCACAAATTTCGAAACATGATGACAAAAGCACAATAGGCACAAGCAAGATGGGGGACGAAATTTATATAAGCAATGTATACATTTTACGCATACACCATTTATGGCACATGCTGATGCGGTGAAGGCTGTTGGGGTGAAAGGTGTAGGGGTGACACTTTTGGGGTGAAAGGTGTAGGGGTGACACTTTTGGGGTGAAAGCTGGTGAGATAAAACCTGTTTAACTGAAGGCTGTTGGTGTGGAGGCTGTTGGTGTGTAGGCTGTTGGTGTGGAGGCTGTTGGTGTGTAGGCTGTTGCTTTGTAGGCTGTTGGTGTGGTGTGTAGGCTGTTGGTGTGTAGGCTGTTGGTGTGGTGTGTAGGCTGTTGGTGTGGAGGCTGTTGGTGTGTAGGCTGTTGGTGTATAGGCTGTTGGTGTGTAGGCTGTTGGTGTGTAGGCTGTTGGTGTGTAGGCTGTTGGTGTGGAGGCTGTTGGTGTGTAGGCTGTTGGTGTGTATGCTGTTGCTGTGTAGGCTGTTGGTGTGGTGTGTAGGCTGTTGGTGTGGAGGCTGTTGGTGTGTAGGCTGTTGGTGTGTAGGCTGTTGGTGTGTAGGCTGTTGGTGTGTAGGCTGTTGCTGTGTAGTTTGTTGGTGTGTAGGCTGTTGGTGTGGAGGCTGTTGGTGTGGAGGCTGTTGGTGTGAAGGCTGTTGGTGTGGAGGCTGTTGGTGTGGAGGCTGTTGGTGTGGAGGCTGTTGGTGTGGAGGCTGTTGGTGTGTAGGCTGTTGGTGTGGTGTGTAGGCTGTTGCTGTGTAGGCTGTTGGTGTGTAGGCTGTTGGTGTGTAGGCTGTTGGTGTGGATGCTGTTGGTGTGTAGGCTGTTGGTGTGGATACTGTTGGTGTGTAGGCTGTTGGTGTGGAGGCTGTTGGTGTGTAGGCTGTTGGTGTGTAGGCTGTTGGTGTGGAGGCTGTTGGTGTGGAGGCTGTTAGTGTGTAGGCTGTTGGTGTGTAGGCTGTTGGTGTGGATGCTGTTGGTGTGTAGGTTTTTGGTGTGTAGGCTGTTGGTGTGTAGGCTGTTGGTGTGTAGGCTGTTGGTGTGGATGCTGTTGGTGTGTAGGCTGTTGGTGTGTAGGCTGTTGGTGTGTAGGCTGTTGGTGTGTAGGCTGTTGGTGTGTAGGCTGTTGGTGTGTAGGCTGTTGGTGTGTAGGCTGTTGGTGTGTAGGCTGTTGGTGTGTAGCCTGTTGGTGTGTAGGCTGTTGGTGTGTAGGCTGTTGCTGTGTAGGCTGTTGGTGTGTAGTTTGTTGGTGTGTAGGCTGTTGGTGTAGGCTGTTGGTGTGTAGGCTGTTGGTGTAGGCTGTTGGTGTGGAGGCTGTTGGTGTGGTGGCTGTTGGTGTGGAGGCTGTTGGTGTGGAGGCAACTTGGTGAGGCAACACACACTTTTTTGTCACATTACAAATGAAAGAAAAAAAACGCATTGTACGTTAATAAAGTGTAAAATCTGTTTACATTTTTTTTTTTTTTTATTTTAATAGCCGACAGGGTAAATGTGATAACCATAATAAAATACACAAGATAGTGTGTAAATAGTGATGTATATGTAAAAACATTAGATGGAATTTGATCAAGGTAGCTGATTGTACAGAAATGTCGTCTGTAGTCAGTAAATTTAAAAAAATATAATGTTATAGTTGCATAAACGCTAACGTTATATGATGTGTTGAGCTACAGTGATGGGACAATAGAAGCACTGCCAAAACCTCACTGCTGATTATCTGAACCAGGACACCGGCGCAATCACAGGTACCATGTCTTTATTCAATATCTCCTCTCTTAGCTCGACGACACTGATCTTGTTGAACAGTCCCGGCACGGTCGTCAAAACCGTTAAATGTGACATGGGCCATTCTGAACAAAACATAATCAGCTCATTTTTGTAGATCACGGCTCCGTTTATAAATTTTTGAACGTTTCGCCAGAGATGAGCCACCGGTGTAAATTTGACTGCCTTGTTAGAATCTCTCTTGACCGAGAGTAAAAGTCCGCTTGACAGTAAAAGAAAAGTGTCTTTGTCTTTGTGTATGGCCACAATGTGAAAAATCTGTCCACCAACATTTGGTATTTTGGTTGTTGTTAGGGTTTTTGTTTCCAGATTGTAAGTTTTGACTGTTAAATCGTGAGTTAGGTTATTGGACATGAAATACTTTTCGTACATCACAATTTCATTTTCAAACATACAGACGGGGAAAAAGTTTCTACCGGGGTTTAATGTAATCGTTTTCAACATACAAGGATCCACGATACGACTTCGGGTTGCAGCGTAGCGATCGTTTTTTTTAACGCAAATTATCTGGTTGTTTGCGCTGAATAAAGGTAAGAAGGCATTTTGTTGATTGCACAACTCATATAAGGTTGATAAAGTTTTGTTTTCATTTAACAAAAGGACAGTAAAAAGATTACATTTGTGCATTGCAAAAGGACAATTTCTTAAGTTTTGTACACACAAGAAGGCAAGTCTTGACCCCAGCGAGACAACAGACACAAAGTTTCTGTAGCTTCTTTTTACATTCTCGAGCTTAGTGCTACTTAAAGTCCTGCTCTCCAAATCGTAGAGGTGTAGACATCTCTTTTTAACAAATGCCAAGCAATTTCTTTTTCCGCTGTTAGTTCGAAGAGGGGTCAATATGGCGCTCTCTAAAGGATACACCCCACACTTGTATTTCAGGGCTTCTTGTATTCCGTGATAGGCTTCTGTGCATTGGATTATATAAGGGTTTTTGAGTAAACTTTGTAGGCAACTGGCGGTGGCTAAAGTTAGTTTGGCACTAGACATTAGTTTGGCGAGATAACTTGCTCGATCGCCTGTCTGGTTACATTTTGTGACGTCATCAGTATGGTCCTCATTTTTTACGTCACCGTGCTGACCATGTTTTCTGACGCTAATGCCAGGCGTGTCAGTTGCTGTTTCGCCAGCGTCAGCTACGTTTCCATCGTCAAAATTCTGACCAACCTTTATGAGACTACCCGACTGACTAGAAGTAGTGTCGTCATGAGAAGGACCCTCAGTGTTTTTGAGTTCATCATCCTTACACGCGGCTCTCTTATCGCTGCTGTCACGCGTCAAACAATCACCTTGTTGGTATTTCCCATGAGAAACCCAGATTAAAATCGACTCCAGAACTGAGTCCTCTGTCCTCACATTCAACTCCTCACTTTCAATACATGATAGCACTAAAGGAAACGGCAAATTCAAAAATCCTTTCATCCTAAAAACATGCTCGTAATTTTGCTTTATGAACTTTAGCGACCCGTCTTTGACGTAGTTGGAATTAACATCAACAGCTTTTAAATAAAAGTGCCATAGGTTATCAATGGATAAACTATCGATGTCAAAATGTTCGATTTCTTTAAGATATATTGCTATATCCAGACGATTCGCTGCATCCCAGATGTCATCAATATTGTCAGCCGTCAGACCATGGACACGCTGGTGGATGAAATTTAACACAACAGCGAAAGTCTCACTTGTCATACCCTGTAGCTCCACCCTTCCTTCTTTTGTCTCTCTCATGTTGCTTCTAAACAAGGCGTCGAAGTATGCGGAAGTTGAACTCAGGATTTCCTGATGGCTTTTAAATTCGGCACCGTCAACCATGATGGTGAAGTCACATGATGCGGAGTTGGTCGTAGGTGACTTTTCTACGTGAGATTGATATCTGCGAGGTGATGTTCTTTGCGTCATCGCGTCACTCACTGTATATCATAAATAGAATATTGCTCTGTATCTGAACAATCTAGGAATAAAAGTGATAAGTTAGGGTTAGGGCTAAGTTACATTTTTTAGCTTCTGGTTGGGTGGCAGAGAGTGCGATATCTAACTCGAAAGTCTCGAATTGATAACTGAACTCGAGTTCGTATGATGTCTCTTGGTCCACGCAGCTTAGATGGGCACGTGAACCAAGATGGGGCGATCTACCACCCAATGACGCCATGCTACCACAAATAACAGTTAGGGGACGCGACTTCCCATTTGTCCACAATGGCGCCTTTGTTCGTTTTAAAGAGTGCCATATCCTAGATTAACTTTCAGTAAAATAATCAAACTACCCGAATGGCTGATATACTGGGATATACATAGACCACGGAGATAGCCCATATCTGTGGTAATTAAGACAGTCACTAAAAAATGTTTTTGGAACAGGGCATTATCCCTACCCCCCATGTCAATAACCCCCCCCCCGGATGGATCCCTCGTCATTACCTACTGGACTAATCACCCCCTTTTAATTAAAACCTGTCAAATCCCCCCCCCCCAATGGGACGAAATCATCTGCCCCCGCCCATGCATATCTAAAAGGTACAGTTAGCTCTAGGTCTAGGTCTGGGTCTAGGTCTAGGTCTGGGTCTAGGTCTAGGTCAAGGTCAAGGTCAAGGTCAAGGTCAAGGTCAAGGTCAAGGTCAAGGTCTAGGTCTAGGTCTAGGTCTAGGTCTAGGTCTAGGTCTAGGTCTAGGTCTAGGTCTAGGTCTAGGTCTAGGTCTAGGTCTAGGTCTAGGTCTAGGTCTAGGTCTAGGTCTAGGTCTAGGTCTAGGTCTAGGTCTAGGTCTAGGTCTAGGTCTAGGTCTAGGTCTAGGTCTAGGTCTAGGTCTAGGTCTAGGTCTAGGTCTAGGTCTAGGTCTAGGTCTAGGTCTAGGTCTAGGTCTAGGTCTAGGTCTAGGTCTAGGTCTAGGTCTAGGTCTAGGTCTAGGTCTAGGTCTAGGTCTAGGTCTAGGTCTAGGTCTAGGTCTAGGTCTAGGTCTAGGTCTAGGTCTAGGTCTAGGTCTAGGTCTAGGTCTAGGTCTAGGTCTAGGTCTAGGTCTAGGTCTAGGTCTAGGTCTAGGTCTAGGTCTAGGTCTAGGTCTAGGTCTAGGTCTAGGTCTAGGTCTAGGTCTAGGTCTAGGTCTAGGTCTAGGTCTAGGTCTAGGTCTAGGTCTAGGTCTAGGTCTAGGTCTAGGTCAGGGTCAGGGCCAGGGCCAGGGCCAGGGCCAGGGCCAGTGCCAGGGCCAGGGCTAGGGCTAGGGCCAGGGCCAGGGCTAGGGCTAGGGCTAGGGCCAGGGCTAGGGCTAGGGCTAGGGCTAGGGCTAGGGCCAGGGCTAGGGCTAGGGCTAGGGCTAGGGCTAGGGCTAGGGCTAGGGCCAGGGCTAGGGCTAGGGCTAGGGCTAGGGCTAGGGCTAGGGCTAGGGCTAGGGCTAGGGCTAGGGCTAGGGCTAGGGCTATTGCCAGGGCTAGGGCTAGGGCTAGGGCTAGGGCTAGGGCTAGGGCTAGGGCTAGGGCTAGGGCTAGGGCTAGGGCTAGGGCTAGGGCTAGGGCCAGGGCTAGGGCTAGGGCTAGGGATAGGGCCAGGGCTAGGGCTAGGGCTAGGGATAGGGCTAGGGATAGGGCTTTGGTTAGTGTTATGGACAGAGGGTAACAGACATGGGGGTATTTGCTGCGTGGGGTAATGTCAGGGGAATTCCCTGGGTAATTGACGAGGGGGTTAATGTCCTAGACCCGACTCTTCATATAGGAAGAAGCTGTGGCGACACAGGTGTGGTCTCCATGGCGTGTCTGTTGACCACCCATTACACATTATCACGTGACAGTAAATTAGACCGTAGCTGGTAATGTGACAGAAAGGTGACTATTTAAATTGTAGTAATTAACTTGCAATTTTACGAGGATTTATGTTTTACAATGCTACAAAAATATTTCGTATACCTTATTTTTAAATAATTTTATTTACATTTTTAGCAATCAATGAAGACACCGATACAACCAAGCTTGCTAACTTAGTTGCCTTATAATTTAAGAATGTTTAAATTACACTATTTATTGTTAGAATTTCAGGGTAACCCATTCTAATTTACCAATGGTCGCTGTTTATACAGCAAATCTTGCTCTCAAACACTGCTGTATAAAATAAATGTTGTCTTTATTGAATTGATATATATATATATATATATATATATATATATATATATATATATATATATATATATATATATATATATATATATATATATATATATATATATATATATATATATATATATATATATATATATATATAATATTTAGACATTGAATTTATTTAGTAAACAAAGGAAGCGACATATTGTTAACATGGATTAAAAAATGTGTTTTTTTAGACTTTGCAATCAAAGCAACCGTAAAAATAATAAATAAAAAACAAGCCTAAAAATAAATCAGAAATTTAACATTTATTTTTAGAATCAATGTAATAAAAGTTGCAAATCCAGAGAACTTGAAAATATTTTTTTGAGTTTAAGGCTATATTTCTATTTATTTTCTTCACTTTCGTAAGACAAACATTAATTGGCTGTACAGGAATCCGTGATTATTTTCTAACAGCCCCACAACATTGTTTTTTTATTTACAAAACTTTGCAGATAAAGTTTTTAAATAACAACGCAAAAAATTTAAACCCCATGTTTTCTTTTTTTTTTTTTTACTTTCTCGTATACAGAGTATGGAGTAAGTATTGTAATAGTGCACAAAAATCACATGAAGTTTTGACAGTTTTGACAGTTTTCACCGTTTTACACCTCAGTCCTTCTTCACATCCGGAGAATATAGGACTTATTTTAATTGAGCCAAAATTATAAATCCAGATATATCAAAACTTTGATTTATGCGTAATTGAGTCGGGAAAACTGGACTTTGCATTTCTGTCCGTATGTCTGTGTATGTGTGTATGTATGTCTGTAAACACGATAACTTGAGTACCGTAACAGCTAGGTTGATGAAATTTCATATATGTATTATATCAAATTTGCTGTTCTGTATCAACTTTTCAGCAATTTCCGATAGCCTTAAGTGGAACTTTTTCTACTTTCAATTTTCCAAAAACCTATAAATTGAGTATTGTTTCAGATAGATAAACGAAAGTTTAAATGTAAGATATCTAATCCTCTGCCTTTTTTTTCAAATTTGGATTAATTTCCGTTGACCGGAATAAGTAAATTACGCTACTTCCGATTTCTCAAAAACGCATATGAATTTATAAAGCACAAATATTATTCCGCACTATTATACACGTACTATTTTTCGTCCAATTGGTGTGAAATTCTTTTTCTATGAGATTTAATTATATTTTAAAAAGTTTAAGTAATAAAAAAAGGATTAAAAATCATGTCTATATCGTGATTTGCCATCTTCCGTAGTGTTATATAAGAATATTCGAGAAAGTTTAGGGGAGATCATTCCCGGTTTATTTCGCTTACAATGTGTACAATAAAATTTATGGTAGCTTATCGAATAGCAGGATGCCATTGTTTATGTCGCCATTACACGTGCAAACCAAATTGTTTTTGCTTTATTTTTAATTTTTATTTAGTTACCGAAAATATTAAAAACATAAAATACATTCAATCTTTAGTAAAGTCCTAAAAAAAAAACCCCGACCGACAGGATTTTATAACCATGTTAATTGTAACTACGCCGTGTATGATTTTAAAAATGTTATTTGCCTCTCGAATACCTTTGAAACTTTACTCCCTCGCGTCCATTATGTATTGTAATGTATGCAAATGTGTCACAATACACTTGTATTTAGCTAATCCATCACTTTTATTTAACATTACTAGATCTAGCTTCGGTCGATTTTACGTACTTACGACAATAGGTTATCCAGACGGATTAGAAGGAACTATCAGCAGCAGGGATAAAAATGTTCTCAAGCTTTTCAGATTTTCGAGGCTAATCACTTACAGAAACATCAGTGTCTAAGTAACTCTTGGAGCTATCACATCCTTTCATTTCAATACATTTCCGTCGTGTCTTTTTATAAGCGCGATTAAAACAAATTGTGATGCACACAAATAGTGATGCGCAGCAGATGGAAAAAAAAAAGTTCACTTTAGAAGTTGTGTATAAAGAGATAATGTGTTCAGCACTATGCCCAGCTGCCTTTACTTTTCCGAGTTAGGTACACATTATATCTGGGTGGACTCAGGGACGTTCTACTAACTTGAACTTGGATTTGAACTCGAGACTTTAGCGGTCTAGCGCTGTATCGCTAGACCACACAGACTCATGTAACACACCACTGTTCTTTTTTTTTTCTTGAGAAAGTATAAATATTTTTACCAAGGTGTACTTTTTATGTCTACTTTGGACATGTTTTAAGTTAAGACACATTGCGACCAGAGTTCAAGTCAGGCATTTGATTATATAGAAAATATATACTTTTACCAATGACAGCCCTCACTGGGAAATTAAGTCAAGTTTGTCGCGTTCGGGCAAGTGTCCATTCGGGCATTTGTTGCATTCGGGCAAGTGTCCATTCGGGCATTTGTCGCATTCGTGCAAGTGTCCATTCGGGCATTTGTCGCATTCGGGCAAGTGTCCTTTCGGGAAATCGGCCTTCGAGCAAACGGCATTCGGGCAAGCGTCTTTCGGGAATTTGTCGTAGACCCTATATATATATATATATATATATATATATATATATATATATATATATATATATATATATATATATATATATATATATATATTGATTTATATAATCATAATAGAGGTTTTAACGAATTAATTCGAACTTTACATATGAAAAGCATACTAAAATACCTAAGTGTCGAGAAAGATAATGTGGTAGCAGAAATTTTTGTTCATATACAAATGTATCGCTAATATTGTATGTTCTTATTGTTATGTAATTTATTTTAAATGCAATTTACTGGCTCTAGCGTTTTATATACAATACAAAGTGTATGATCTTGTTGGCGTATATTATGTGTCCTCTGATGGGTACCTAACTCCGGGAAAGTAAAGGCGGCATAGTGCCGACCACATTATCCTTTCATATACTCTACTCCGTCTGCTTGGTCTAAAAACGAATCTTTTTTATCACCCATAAACGTGAAATTAGTAAAAAAAACTAGTTCTAACCTTATCCCTAACCAACAGACTTAACCCTAACTTGCCTTACAACTTAGGTTAGGTTTGATATGATCTTATTCAGGTTCGATTTTGTGGGTAATGTCAGAATGTTTTCCGCGGGGGGGGGGGGGGGGGAGGGGGCTAAGATGCGGGTAGAAACTGTGAGGGGAAGACAATTGGGGTAGCTAACAGAGTAATCTATACTAATAGTTTCGCTGTCTGTCTGACAAGAACGCTATAGAGAAAACACAAGCAAAATACAAACTTTCATAGTAAAACGTGGGGCGGAGCCCCCCCCCCCCCCAAATGCGACCTCTGTCGTGTTTGAGATTAGGTGCAAGGTTTAGGAGTATGACTTCTACTATGTTTAGTAGTATCAATATGCAGTAACTAAGCGTAGATCAAGCTTAATTCCGGTTATATATCCGATTCTGGTCAGAAATCCGTTTTCAATGGCATTTTTCGTTTCCGGTTAAAATTAAAGTTGAATTGGTGATTTGTTTTTAGTTCCGATTTAGAGGAAAAGACAACATTATCAACCTAGCGCCCGTTGTATCTCACCCTCAACGGGCCATTTTTCTCGTAATAGAATAGTGTGGCTAGATTTTTTGGAAGTGGTGGCGATTATCAAGAGTTAATTTTACACGTTTACCTTTAACTTAATTAAATGTTAGGTAAGATTCTCTAGAATGGGACTTCATACTGCGCACCTTCCCGCACCGTGTGTGAACAGGATGTAGGTGAACTTATTTCCTTGTACACTAAACGTAGCAGGAAACAAAGTATGAAATCGTTGGTAAACACATTAGCTGTGAGTTGATTTTGTACTGAAAGCGTGTCCTTTGTACGTAGGTCACATATTCGATTACCGAGACGTTATATTACAGATCCTTGGTGTTTAAACGACTAGTAAGTGTCGTATCGTTTAAAACGATACCTTAACAGTATACGATTCGGATTAGCCACTTTTATTTAGATCCTAGACATCTATTTGTACTCTAGTTTAGGCCATTATCGGCTTATTGGCTTCCGTATGGGAATGCTTGGTCAAATGGAAGAGTATTACTGATGCTACGAGATCGGATCCGGGTTCAAGTCCGTACAATGTGGTCAGCAGTATGCCCAGCCACCTTTACTTTCTCTAACTTGAGTTAGTTACCCATTAGAGCTGTTTGGACTCAGGGACGTTCTATATATCTCTGATGGGCGCCTGATTCATGTTAGGGATGGGTATAGTGCTGACCACACTATCCTTCATACGCCGAGAATAGGTGAACTCTACTTCACTTGTCCCATAGGCCATTCGGTTTAAAAAATAACCTTACTAGTCGGTTCCCTTAATCATAAGCCTTACTCTTACTATAGACGCATCCTTATACGTGATATTTGCGTGTATTGACGTATTAATCCAAACATACTATCATAACTAACAGGAAATATAATTTGGCTTACATGAACGGAAACACCGTTAAATATATAAAATACGGGTCTATCCCGCGTCGTCGAAACGAATTAACATGAAATTATAACATTTACTGGCGAAATATTTTTTAATCAACTCCTAACCCTTTGATTTTGTTTAAAAAAAAAAAACTACTAAAATTTCATAACCGGTTCGCCTCTACGGACTAATCCCCAAATAGACTGTCTTGTAGTTCCTCTTTATTGTGAATTTCCGGCAGGCCAACTCATCCAGTTGATAAAACCGGGTACTGTTACTATCTACAGAACTGTCTCACGAGAATGGTCTCCCTTGTGTTGAGTAAGACTACTTCAGCTTTACTGCTACTTGTGCACCTAACTGCAGGTAAAATTTTCATCATATTTCAGTCAGTGTAGTCGGTGTGATCAGGTCGGTGATCGTTTTCCAGATAAGCCGCGGCACTAATGCTAGTTTTTTTTTTGCCAGCTGCAATGTAATGCACACACGCTAACAACCTATTTCTGATGTCCACACTTTTGAATGTTTAAAAATACGCACAATATTTGTGTTATAAAACATGTTCATAGAACACTACATATCACCACGCAAAAATGAGACATTACTGACGCACCACTGCCTAATATTAAGATATATAACATGTATAATCCACCACCCCTCACACTAGGTTATATAACATAAAAAATTATTATTACTGACCCACGCTTTGTTCAACTGCATGTTATTTAATATGGCGATATCCCAACACCCCTTCAAAAAAGGTAATAAAACATATCTTAAGAAACCAACTCACAAACCACAAGGCAAGCGGCAAAAATTTACTTTCTAAACAAAAGTGTTTTTTATTTATAAAAATATTGGAATCTCAGTGGATTTTTTTTTGGCGAATGCTGCCTGCTACATTCCTATTAGTGTGACGGTGTGGTCGAATGGTAGAGCATGAAACTGTTAATCCGGAAGTCCGGAGTTTGAATCCCTGAATCGAGCCCACCTACTCGGCTGGGTACCTGACTCAAGTTTCGGGAAGTAAAGACGGCTGGACATGGGTGCTTCATATGCCCAGTTCAAATAAACAGGTGAATTCTACTTCACCCGCCAAGAGGACAATCGGGGTACTTTACTACTCTCCTTATTAGGGTAAACAGATGAGCTGTGCCATTCAACGTGTGCACGATCCATTAGGTATTTATAACGCTAATCGTTGAGACTTTACGCTATGACGTATGACCAACTTTCAACAGGCGAGTTCTCTATGTTCGGGAAGGAATTTCTGTACCCGATCCATTAGGTTTTATAACGCTAATCGTTAAGACTTTACGCTATGACGTATGACCAACTTTCAACAGGCGAGTTCTCTATGTTCGGGAAGGAATTTCTGTACCCGATTCCTAAACTGCAGAGCAGAGAAAGCTGGGTCGAGCTCGTTATGGTGACGAGAGAAGAGATTGATATTATGCAGGTATGTATGGGGTGTCAAGGTAAAAGGCTGAATTTCTGATTATGTATGGGGTATTAATGGAAGAAGCTGGATTTCCGATATATATGGGGTGTCAAGGTAAGAGGCTGAATTTCTGGTATGTTTCGGGGTGTCAAAGAGGCTAAATTTCTGGTATGTATGGGGTTGCAAGGTAAGAGGCTGAATTTCTGGTTATGTATTGGGGTGTCAATGAAATAGGCTGTCTTTCTGATTATGTATGAGGGTGTCAATAAAAGAGGCTGAATTTCTGG